GCAAAGTAATTTTGATATTCATATTCCATTTCGGTATTCCATTCTCTCTATCAACACACAACTTATACATAAATATTTCTAATTCTATATAACACGTCTTACCTTTCAAATATTTCTTATATGTATATATTCTTTTATCATAAGTGGACATAATATATGTATATGCAATTGACATTAAATTTATTTTCTTTTAAAATCACTCATTGTCATTTCTTTCGATTGATTGATCTTCAATCAGAAAAATAAATAATTTTGATCATATTGTGTTCTCTCGAAATTATCATTTCCCTTTCTTTCTCTTTCTTTTTCTAGATTTAGACATTTAGAGAAAAGAATAAAAAATCTGAGATAATTATTTATATTACAATTGACTTGGAATTATACATACATATCAATACATATTTTATTGCAAAAATGCATGAATAGAAATTTAGAAAAAATAATAGAAAGAGATGGAAAAAGAAAAAAGCGTTTTAATTTCATTAATTGTTCATAAAAGTTAGATATATATATATATTTACAAATTATTCGTATGATATGATATATATATATGTAACCTCATTTTATCATATACATGTAAATATATACAGTTAGTCACGAAATCTTTATTCTTTATACATTATCTTGTAAGAAAATTCATTTAATTCGAAATTCCCGATTTTAATTAAAATGTATTTATTATAATATTATATCTAATTTCTTTTTTGATGAAAAATTTCTTTGAATATTCCTTTCTGAAATCAACTCTTAAACTATATATTATTGCTATTATTCTTTCATTTTTTCGAATATAATTTTATCTGAGAGTATCTGGATGATAATGCACAAAATTTAAACATTTTAATAATATAATAATAATTTAAAATTTTCTATTTTGTAAAAATAGATAAAAAAATAAAAGATACAATACTTTAAAAATTGATTTAATCTTCTTAATAAAAAAATTATGTTATATATTTCATACAAAATAGAATTATTATTTCGATAAAACAAACAAATTTGTTAATTGAACTCACGTTGAAAACTTTCGTGACTGACTGTATACATGCACGTGTAGTCGACGTTGAGTTAAAATAATAAAACTTAATGCGAGAATAAATATGAGAAGTCGTTTCTCTTTTTCTCTTTTCGATACAAAATACGTACATATATTCCCATTTTCCTATTATATATTGCGTTACTTTCATTTATTATTCAATTCATGAATTCGTTGCAAATTGTTCCATAGATTACACGTGCAATTACAGATGGTACACGTGTGCATGTATTTTTATACACGTCCATATTTTATTGGAATCTTGAATAATGACACAGATAATATAACTAATGTAATTTTTATGAGGTTAGGCCACTTTAAAAGGTCTGAAGTCGTTTGATTTCTTTACAAGAAATCAAAGTCCGTGCTCATTTATAGAAGTGATCTTCACCGACGTTCTCAGGTCCAATTTATTATATATGTAAATAAGTGTAGTGGAATATATCTTAAAGACAAAAGTTATTTGTATATATATGTTCAGTGCCATTCCTGATTGGATGCTCTAGATATCTCTGGATAGCCAAAACCAACTAGATTATTTATTTTATATAAAATTTTGACTAATAATTATATATTTTATATAAAAAAATATTGGTAGAAATTTAGATTTGTTGTTAAATAATTGACAAATTTGCATTAAAGAAAAGTAAGTAATGTAAATTTGTGGCGAAATCAATTTCTTTTACTTTCATTAAACAGAATACTAATAGTTTTTTTTCACGTACTAGTTTTATATTTATATTTATGATATATTTATTTCATTTAATGTAAATAAAAATTAAAAAAAATATTTCTTTTGCACGATAATTGTTTATAATTATTCATATATAAATATAAAAGTAAACATTGCATATCAAATTCACATAATAAATAATAATGGAATTAAGGACGGCGATATTATTTTTATATCTTTATATATTTATAGATTTAGGAACGGCACTGCATACGTTATCTACGATTAGATATGTAGCAGTGTAGCAATAATAAACGAAACAAATTACCATTTTATCGTTAACAGGAGATGGTTATAAAATTATTTTTTTTCGTTCCTCTATGTCTCCTTTCGTAGCACGGACGGTAACCAATTGTTCCTTACGTTGTTAATTTTAATGTAAATATCCTACGAAACTTGATCGTCGACGAAAGATTTAACCATCGAATTGTTTATTGAAGAATTGATACTGTAATGGAACGAAAAATATAGTTACAACTATTGATTATTAAATAGATGAAGAATAATATGTAATACAGATCGAACGATTGATCGATCAATCTAATTTTTCTTCGTCAATTGACGAAAAATCATTGAATATACGTGCACATGAAAAAAATAGCTGCGAAGCAATTAATATTTAAACATATTGATCCATATATATATATTCTACTATTATTAATTTTAAAACATCCTATCTAGCGCTTTTTTTTTATTTTTAAATACATATTGAGATATTTTAAATTTTGTCGTGTCTTTTAACTTTTGAATTAAAAGATCTTACAATCCTTTTCAAGGATTTAAAATTTTTAAATTTACAAAGTCTAGTTTTACAATATCTAATCTATTCTTTTTAAAGAAAATAATAAAAATTTTAATTTTCATCTCAAATTGTTAGATAGGATATTTTATTTAAGAAGCAGTATTGTAAAAAAAATTGAACGAACTAGTATATAAAATAGATGCAAATAACAAGAGAAAGGTGGGAAGGAATATAAGCAAGAAAGAGAGAGAGAGAAAAAGAGAGAGAAAGAGAAGCTGGGAAAAGGCAGGATAAGCAAGGACCGCCTTTTGCTATGAAAAAAAAAAAAAAAAATATATATATATCTTTGCTCAAAAAATTATTCAAAATATAATTTAAATTTTGTTCTAATCGTTATAAAGCGAAAATCTAAAATACGTTGATATGTGTGTTTTCCTTTTCTTTCCTTTGCATTTCGTTCATTTTGTCTTCTTTTTTTTTTTTTATTTTCGAAAAAAAGAAAAACACATCGTCGCGAGCGATATTTAAAAAATCGTATCTCACTAAGAAAAATTCCATATCGTTAAAGAGAAAGAAAAGAGAGCATCGGCGACTTTGGATAAGCTAGTGAATATCCTTACACTGTGACGGAGGGTCAGTGGAAAGACTGTCCCGGTAGCTGGAGTAATGGAGAAAGTGTTGGTGGTTGTGGTGGTGGTTGTGGTGGTGGTGGTGGTGGTGGTGGTAGTCCATTGAG